CCAATCAAAAAGGGATTACCAGAATAATGAGGGAAGCTCTAACCAATTGATTATAGTTATGAGCTACTATATACTAAGGATAGAAACTACCTTAGTTCTTAGTAAGTAGCTGAGCATCTAGAGCAGCTTGCTCCTTTGCTTGCTGCTTCAAGGCCTCTACCTCAGCGTCTTGTATCTTTTGATAAGCGCAAAGTTGATCCTCGAAATTCAGCCGCTGCCAACGATGAAACTGACGCGCAATTTTCTTTGCGTCTCCCTCGAGAGTTTCCTGAGCAAGGCGTAAGCCATCTTCTGAACGCTCTTTCGCAATAGTAAGCGCGTGAGCTGCCGCTACCAGCTCATTAGCATAGGCTTCTAGCCTCTGCTTAAGAGTTTGCTCATTATCGCTAGAATCATCATCTAGCTCTTCTTGATTATAACTAGCTTGAAAGTCTCGACCTTGGACATCTTGATCTCGGACATCTTGATCTTGCTTATCTTGTTCCTGCTTATCTTCATCCTGCTCATCATCGTCCTGCTCATTATCTAGGAGTAGCGGAGTATTATCCTGAGCTATTAAATTAGTATATTATAATTAATGATAAAAGAGTAACTTACTAAGAGTTGCCTGCTAAGCAGTAGTATCCTCGCCATTATTGTTTTCTATAGTCGGATTCTGAGTAGCGTCTGGCATATCCTCGTCAGAATCGTCTTCAACGATTCGTCGAGGCTGCTTAGTTAGGAGAGGCTTGCATTTTGGCGTAGCCTTTGCTTTCAGCGCCTTAGTAGCCTTGTTCTTCTTTGGCTCTGTGTGGATGAAATTGGGATTGACAGGACCAGAATTGTAAGGGCAGACTACGAAATCGTTAGGCCAAACACCCCACTCCTTGAGAAGCGAGCGAAGACACTCCATATCTTTGCCTTAGAGTGTGACGCGCTTAGCGTAGATAGCCAAAAGGTTGGCCGCTAGAGGAGGTAAGTAAGTAAGTAAGTAATCAGAAAGAATAAGAAATAGGAAGACTTACAGGTAAAGATTCTTACTAAGAGAGACTTAGCATATTCTTGAAGAACGCCAAGAGCGCTTGCTTGAATGCGAAGAGGTGTATAAGCCTGATCTATAACGAGCTCCTTGATAAGTCTAGCAAATGGGGTTTTCTTGATATAGAGCAGGCTCTCCTTCTAGCACTTCCTAATCTCTTTGAGAGCTAATGCTTTGAGAAAGTTAGTGCCGACCACAAATGCCGACCACAAATGCCGACCACAAATCTGGATTCTGGAATTACTTACTACCTGGGGCATATCTGTATCCCTTCTTAATGCGAGTGCCTGGAAGCTTTTTACTACCTGTGCGCGAAGGAAGTCCCTTTGCACCAGTGCGAGGAGTCTTGCGTGCGATCGATTGTTTGCGCTTCTGCGCAATCGACATTGCCGAGGCCATTGTAGTAGATTGGTGCGCTAGTGTGGTGTAGTAGCGGTGGTGTGGTGTGGTGTGGTAGTGTGGTGTGGTGTAGCGGAGGTAGTGTGGTGTAGTGTAGTGTGGTAGAGGTAGTGAGGAGAGAGAGAAAGGAAGGGGGCAATGTTGATGTAGTAAGTTAGGTTTTTTCTGAAGTAGAGAGTAACTTTGTGTTGTTGGGAGACAACCGCTCGGCCAATTAGAGGCCACGGATTGTTTGCTGCCTGAGTAATAATACATGCGCACTTCACACGAGATCCAAATAAGGTTTGCGTACGTAATCTTCAATTGCCGGGAGTGACCGGCAGGCACGGTCAGCAGGTACGGTCGGCAGGTACGGTCGGCAGGTACGGTCGGCAGGTACGGTCGGCAGGTACGGTCGGCAGGTACGGTCAGTAGGTACGGTCGGCAGGTACGGTCGGTACAGGTAGTAAATATCATCGGAAAGTCTTCTCGGTAGGAGTCCTAATCCTTCCCCTAAGACATAGTTGGCAGACATAGTCGGCAGACATAGTCGGCAGATATGGTCGGCAGATTCCCAAAAGCTTAAAAGTCATCTTTTCCGTTATTTTCCCCTAGGAAGCGCTTCCGAATCCATCGACAAAGTACTATATCCTTTTGCTGCAACGTTACTCGTTTCGCATGTATTGCAAGCATATTAGAGACTTCGAACTCAAGTGTAAGAAACGCTTCCGTCGCTTCCTGTAGACAGAGGAGGGCCTCTGCTTGGAACCGGCATACGCTACTCGAAGATTTACTTGCGATATCTATAGTAACTTCCCGACAGATCCTCTGGAATAGTAGTCGACGTATTAACAGCTCGGTCGTCTTCTGGTATCTCCTAATCTCGCGAAGAGCAGCTACACTAGGCTTTGTTCGTCGCTTAGTTCTCGCTTTGGGTGCCTTTCGTATTATAGGCTTCTTCTGCGGCCGTTGACTCCCTATCGGCCTCTTATTCCCTGGATAGGACTTTTTCGCGACTAGTTTCGTACGTCCCCGCCTCCTTTCGGCGAGGCTTTTACTTAGTCCAGGAGAGGCTGTCGGTTGAGGTAGTTGTCGTATACGCCGCCTAATCGGTATATCCGAATCTTCGCTAGTCTCCGGACTATAGATTACTAGACCTGCACCTTGATTTGCTTGCCTTTCTTCCTTCTCTCCGCTATAATTAGGATCATAGATTACTCCCGCA